CCCTTGTAGCACCACATGGCTAATACACAAGTGGGACAATATAGCCTTTTCACATTAATTGTTAAGTCCTCAATCCTCATATATGATATATGCTTGTATACACCACAATCTTGTACCTCAAAAAGCATGGTAGCAGTCAATTGGAGGCCCTAGGACGATACTTCTGTTATTGGTACAATAATGTTATATGCATCTATAACTATAATCTATCACTGTAATCAATGCCAAGTAATAATTGTTTATAGGCAAACTTAGGTCGAAAGGTATTAATTTATTATGTATATATGATTGGTTAATAATTTCAAATGTATTTAATGACATGACCATGGTATGTGACTACATTTGATGTGTGATGACTGTAGATATATAAATTAGTGAGTTTGGATTATGGAGGACGTGTGCTTAGGACATAGGATATGATAGTGTTGAATTTGAGGACATGTTGGAGAATGTTTTTATTTTTTGGGAATCACGCTCTTTGACCGAGTTAGTTGCCTAAGTGAAAGGAAGGGTGGGTTGGACAGAAGGAGATGTGGTTGTGTAGTTGGAAGGGGTGATAGATGTAGGGTCATTAAAAGGTCCATAGATCAAGAGGATGCTTAAAATTAGTAGCGAGTATGAGTGGGATGCTTGCAAGGAAAGTTGTATTGGCCTCATAAGTTCGATCTCTTAATTTGATGGTACATAAGGATTATATAATTCGAAGGCATAACATTGAATCGTTGGATTCGTACCAACCATGCATAGAAAATGGTCCTTCAGAAGAAGAAATAGTACTCACACAACCAACATATGGTGGTATGGAAGGTTGTGGTGCAGCAGATGATGTAGATGCTTATTATGATCATGTAGCTGGATGCCATGATGGCAACAAAATGATTAATGATGATAGATCTTGTAGAGTTGGCAAAGATGAAGCAACCTAAGATGAAGGTAGTGAAGTTGGAGGATGTCAAGATGATGTAAGTGATGATGACGATTTGAGTGATGAAGATGATATTGGCGATGCTATGGCTTCAAATAATTTATATGTGGAGGTAGCTTGTGATAACCATACTTACGAGGAGTAGATAGCTCAAGACTCTGACAATAATCATCCTATGTCTCGATTAGTGCTAGGCAAATAGCAGTGTTGAGGAGGGTTTTGCCAAGGAGTGATCCACTAGTTTCTGAAGGTCATGGTTGATAGGATGTAGATGGCTAGAGGGGGGTGGTGAATAGTGTCAGGATCATCTCCCTTTTAAGTAGATTACCAAACTCAGTAGTCTTCCATTGACTGCTAGGCTAGATAGATCACTTAATATGTCATCCCGGTACACCACCCATATGATGTACTATGTCCAACCTTCATCTAGGATCACACAAAGGAAAGGAAATATCACAACACACATCTAGATCATATTACAGCACAAAGGGTACATTAGTTTACAAACCATGTTCCAAACTTAGTTCATAACACAAAAAGTACATACATCCATCCTAATCGACAACATCAGAGTAGCGGAAGTCTAACAACAACATAGTTTTAAAGATAACAATGTGTGGGGGTGCCACATTCTACATATTTACGAGACATTAGTCTCTCTACCATTCTTGGTCCTCATTGGACTCGGTTGCATAGAAGAACCCATACGCTAGGACAACAATACCTGAAAAACTTAAACAATCACAAGGTGAGTACTCAATTGTACTCCGCAGGACTTACCAAATACAATACAAGTATAACGCATTTGGTTAGTAGCAAGGAATGCATCTGGTTTTGCATAAAGGAAATTTGTGCAAGAATATAAATGTTAGAATAATACTAGGCATTAACAAGCATAGCATGGTTCAAGGTAAATGTAAGAAACATGCATTTGGACCTTGATCTTCCATGAGTCCTTGTTTCAACTCTAGTCCGTATCTAGAAGTACAAAACTTATGGCGTTCAAAAAGGAAACTCTGCAGAGGGGTACACACTAACCCCACCAAAGACAAGGGATATCCCCCATATGACCCATTGGTACATAAGGGTACCTCAGTATGTCACAATCATTCCCCAATAAAGCCACGGATGCCCACGAACGGTTTGAAAGGTAATAACATCGGTCGCCATCAAGTACTTGGCTTGTCACACCCATATATGACAAGTATATGTAACATATGTGTGTAGTGTAGTATTGTTGGTTCTGTCGATGTCCTGGCGGACAATACGGTAGAGCATTGGACGGTCTGTGAGAATGGTCCACTGGAGCAACTCTGAAATTCCTAAGTGTTAGATCTCGGAGATGGTCCGGGGTTCAAGCTGACGATCCGAGGATACAAACCCGAAATTACTAAGATCTATTGGTGAAAAATTAATTATAGTCAGACTGTCCGCGTGTGTGATAGATGGTCTATGTGGACAAGCCTGTAGGCCCTAAGTGTTTGATTTCTGTAGCTGTTCTCCCTGACGGTCTGCGGTGCGGGCGGACAGTCCGCGAAAATATCAATGGCTGGGACAGAAGTGCAAACTCTCTAAGAGATTTCGCGGAACAGTCCAGTGACTGTGCGGACGGCCTGAGCATGTTCAGTGCAGAATGAATATCTTGAAATGTGGATCTTCATCTATGTTACATTCATGTCTATACTCTGTTGTTGTGGGCTGCTCCTAGGGTACTATAGAGAACATCTAGATATCCAAACTAAGCTACATTGCATCTTTCTAGCATCTTGGTCATTGGGAATGTTTTTCTAGGTGATGAAGATCTAGTTCATGAATGTGATGAAAATGTGCCTAAGCTCAAATCCATGCTTACCGAAGGGGTCAGGGGAATGTTGTTGAGCTTCTCAACAAGGTGAAGAAGCTGGTGTTCCCCTTTCTTCCCTTGCTCCTTCCTTTCTTCTTGGGTTCTCCTTCTCCTCCTAGCTCCAAATGGTTAGGGAGAGAGGGCTCCTCCCTCTTCAATCCCCAACCTCCTGTGGACAGCAGCTCCTACTTGATCTTCATGGCCTTCTTGCTAGTGGTGATGCTCCAATCCCTTCTTCTTCCTTTCTTCTTGCTCTTGGTGTCTGAGAGTGGAGAGATCAACTAGATTGAATGTTAGTGTGAGGGAGGAGAGGGAGTGTGAGAGAGTGGAGGATGTTGGTCACTGAGCTCTCCATAAAATGGACACCTGGGCGGACATGTGGGGCCACAAGTGCTCCTGCAGTGACAACTCACTGCTGTGCATGGGGCGTTCTGGCGGACGGTCCATGAGAACACGAACTGTCTGAAAACAGTCTATGTTATGGTTCCAACGAAACATTCGGGTGGTGTGGCAGACTGTCCGACTCGTCCTTTCCTCTTTTCTTTTGTTTCTCTCCCCCCACCACAGCCACAAAATCAATACAACGGTGAGTTGTTCTTTCCCCTTCAGCCTCAGAATCATTTCCATCAATTCCCTGGCTGATCCGGCCTCCAACAATCTTCACCTTACTTCATAAAGATTCAATGCTCTCTATACTGTTTTCACTTCTTTGCATTTCAGTAATAAGTGACCACGGTCCTCTTCTAGCCTGCTGCACATGCAACATTTTGTGTAAAGCTTATGCCTCTTCTCTGCAACAGCTTTCTAACAGCCAAAGCATTAATCTCCAGAGGAAATACTTTATTTTCAGTGGACAGTTTAGTGACCACAGCTTTCTCCAGAAATTTTCACCAATGCTCCCTCTTGCTCCTGATGCTATATTCCTTCTTTGTCTTCTCACTTCTCATGCCCGTTGCACCTTATATGCTGATTTCATCCAAAACATCCCCTTGTTGTCGAAATGCCACCCTATGACGTCCTCCATCTCTAGGTAGTATCAACCTGATAATTTGGACATCCTCCTCCCAGAAGATCTGATTTATATTAGCAAGGGGACATCCCATTGTTCAATCATCGGGATAATCAACTCATCTACCTTTGTGATTATAATTTTCTTAATGGCAGAGATGTGTATTTTTTTGAAAAAATGATATATCAAATGACAATTATTGGTGATGATAATTACTAGAGCCTATTGAGGGTCAGATGTTTCTCATTTTTTTAAGAATCTCTATGATTCATCTGTTTTGTCCACGCATGCGTGTCTAAGGAGAATTAATGTGAAGGCTCCATCGGATACCTTCAATTATTATTTTAATAAAATGAACTACACCCACATTCATTATATTCCCACATGTCTAATCCCGATCCCAAAACTCGTTCCAAAGCCATAGTTCGTAACCGGGACCTGCATCCCTATTCAGTAGTGTCCGGTCCTCAAATTAAAATTGGTAGCCTTGTGGAATAGGTGAAACAAGAAAGTTCTTAGAGTGTTTGTTTCTTGTGACCTTCAGTTTTGGTCCCTATTCCTAGCACGTGTTTATGGAGGAATGTTTGACCACTTTTCTTTTCACCAAATGTGCAAAGACTCGTAAGTCGTAACGTGACACAACTGAAGAACCTGCTATATAATAGTACATGTAAATAAAGTCAACAGGAGCAAGTTGTCCTAACTTTTATAGGTAGTTGAGACTTCCTCCATTCTGCTGATTGCGTTACAGACATTCTGTTTGGATGTCACAGTTAATTTCTTCATGGTTTTAATTACTGGCAAAAAAAAATCATGGTTTGCTGCCCATTCTTATATAGCTACCTACTTTTAGTACAGTACAAGTGATCTGTACCTCTGAAAATAATTTAGAATGTTAGTGGATAAAGAAAACTAGTCCATCACGCGCGCCATCGCGTGCGCCGACAAATCATCTGGTTAAGGCGCAGGGGAAAAATATGTTTAATCTTTGCATGTAAACAACATTAGGAGTCAAATGTAGATATGTCAGGCACAAAAAACGAAAGATTGGAACACAATAATTAACATACCTTGAGCCTCATCATACTTCACATTCAGATAATCTGTGGTAGTAGGCAATGAGGCAAGAGTTGTTCAAGAAATCTGCTACCCCTCACATTCAGTTGAATGACAGCATTGTCTAACTGAAAGCAGTTTGAATAGCACCTCAAGCCCTACTGTCATCATGTTTCATCACTCAAAAGATCATAAGCTCGGATCCGGTAGGTGTAGTTGTCACTGGCATATTCAAACATACATGTTAGAATCATATTATATTTATCAATCTAACATGGATCGCATCTTCTCACTCTGCATCCTCTATCTCTGCATCCTCTGGAACGGCTAGGAGATACAGAACGTTGTTGCACCTGTATGTAGATGTAGAAACATAAAACTGAATCATACATGGGCCAAATGATTATGCAATGCAACAGGCCCTAGTTTGATCAGATACTATCGACCGAAGATCCAGTTCACACCAATTTAAGTTTTGAAGAAGCCCTAGCCTTCCTTAACATGTAACTTGATCAACACTAGCATAGTACTTTCCAAGTATCGGAAGTTGGAATAGGGCAGCAGGATGACAGGATGTATGCAAGCTTTTCCCAGTTCTATATCTAGATTTATTACAAAACACTACTACTTGACATAAGCTAGAAACAAAGGAACAAGAAACATTACCTGATTATAATCTCTCCCAGGTTTCCAGAGAATTTCCCATCAATGTACTCCTCAGTGTTGGCAAGCTGCACACAGTAGGGGAAAAAAGGCAGCAATGAATTTTGTATGTCATTCAGACCCAATTGATGATTAGCTATTCATCTAAAAAGTATTCAATAGACGACCACTCTAATAGTATGACAGCCAAACTGTCAAATTAGTACCTGGAGATTCATATAGGAGTCCACCGAAGCAAGATAACCTGGGAATGTATAATAAAAGTTTTTCAGTTTGATTAAGAGCAGGGGCAGTATCTGGAAAATAAAATGTTCCGGTTCAAACTGAATATAAAAAGGAGATATTACCTCCGTACTCCATACCCCACTTGAGTTTGACAATAACTGGGTTCCCTGTCAGGTTGTTCAGGAAAGGTTTTGGGTTAACTGGCACAGTCTGCACAAAACGAGAGTTGATTAGTGAGTACGTATACCATAAGATCTTCCTTTATTATAGCTAGCAAACATAAATAACAAGACTCTCATTCTTTGGATTTCCGTAGTTCATTATTACTAAGCCCATTGGTCAACTAGATGATAGATTTCTGCCATTAACTGGAAGGTAGGCATTTACAACAGTCTGGTGCGTAAAGAATATCACAAAGATATGGCATGCATGACATGATGCACCCAGTGGCTCAACATTTAACTGAAAAAATAGACCAATAATACAGCACATATTAAGCATCATGGCAAGAATGTATAAGCAGGTCAACATTTTAAATCTCATTATCGAAGTCACCTTGGAAGGAGACAGTGAGACACTCATCCATTTATCTAGTCAAGTATATTACTGTTAATAAAATTTAATATAATTGTTTCATAATGCAGAAGAGCATGCTACCTTCCTGCTACAAACCTGAGGTATAAAAGGAACTCTATCTGTAGACAACTATATCAATGAGAAAACTATTCTATAAAGCAACTCAAACATCTAGATAAATACTGATTTATAGTCTCGGCACAGCCATAAACAGAAAGACAACTTGAGGGGTAGTTGTACCTGTATCTCTGAAGCCAGAACATAGCAACATGTACCATTTGAGTACCAATTCAAATTTGAGGTTCATCGAATTAAGACATGAATGTATGAAATCAAATGTTTAAGACTATGTGTGCTCTTAGGAGGCTTAGAGCCTGCTTGGCAGCTAGAACTGTGCCACCCTGAGCTCACGACAACCGCAGCCGAAGTGTAGAAAGCAATATCCATGAAAACATACGAAGATGCCCCAGGAAAAAAGAGCATAAAACACAAACAGTGATAATAATGGCTGCATATTCTCAAACGGTATAGCTGAGAAGAGGATATTTGGTGTCAAGCAACATTGGCACTGACATGTTAGGGAAAAAGTTGCAAAATAGCAATGGCATGTAAATATTTTCAGGTTTGACATATATGAATACTTCACTCGCAATGACAAAGAAAAAAACATAAAAGAGTGATAATCATGACCGCCTCTTGCAGGCCGTCCATGTTAGCAAAAATCACATCGTATATTTCAGATAAAGATATTTGTTTGCAGCATCATCAGCATTGTCATATGTTCAACAAACAAAAACGCAAAATAGCGAAATCACAAAAACATGTTCAGGTATACTAAAAGCACCTCACAGTCATCATCAACAATGGCATATGCTCAGACTTAAATAAATAAAATAGCACCCTAGTCACACACTTATAATCCAGAAAGAGGCACATAGAGGAGACTGCAATGGGATCAGTACAGAGCAGAGGGATGGTCTTGCCTCACCTGGGAGACGCCACGAAACGAATGCAGCAGAGGGGGCACCACGGTCACAACCGTCGGAGCCATCCTGAGAGGCGGCGCAGTGCACAGATATTGCAGTTCACCAAGTATACATCATTGGCAAGGGGTTGTGTGCTCAGTAATAGAACAACCGATAAATCGTATGAAGCAAATACATCATTGACAATGGTTGTATACTGACTAACAAATGGAAAAAATGTGCAAGTAATATGCCGACACAGCCACGACAAAGGCACCGAAAATAGCAAGATTCATGTAAGAATGGAATAATTATATAATCATGACTGCACAATTCCATTGTCTCAGTCTTTAAAGAATCATCACTGCACAATCCCCAAGCCTCAGTAGATGAGATGAATGAAACAATTAATCATCAACATACAGGTAAGGATATCAGTTCTGCATAGGAGGACAACAGGAGACGATGGACACTGGGCGACCTTGCTTGCTGCAGCCAAGAGGGGGGGGGGACGATCCCCGTAGTGAGGAGAGGGAGTTTAGGGAAGGGGAGGGAGGAGGGGAGAGAGCGCACGCTGCAGTTTAAGGTTTGGGCCGTACCTAGGGTTTCGCCGAGCAAAGGAGCTCACGCTCCCCGACTGGAGGAGGCATTGAGGAGGCCGTGCGGAGGATGGGGGGGGAGGAAGGACGTGACCGGGCCCCACCCACGCTGGTGCGGCGGCCGGGGGGGGGGCGCCGTTGCCTCGCGCTCACCGCCGCCTCGGGAGGGAAGGGGGGCAGTGGGCAGCTCTGTCGTTGGGCCACGGTCCTCCACCATGGCACCAATGGCCATGGCGTCCGGAAGGTTCTTGGCTGCACAGATCAGACGGGAGGACAGACGGATCCGGCCATGGAGGCACCAGATCCGCCGGTTTGGGCCTCCGCCAGCAAGGAAGACCGAGCCGATAAGCCTACATCGACGTCCGTCCCCGGCGCCAGCGAGGGAAGGGGAGGGGGAGGAAGGGAGAGAGCGAAGCTTAAGCTCCGTAGCGGGCGGGCAGTAGAGGCCAGCGGCCAGGCCTCACGCGTAAGTGCCGGCGGCGGCTGCGGGCCGCGTCAGGCCGGCTGCGCGCACTGCCTGCTATCGGCCTAGCTGCATCGGGAGAGAGAGGTAGCGAGTGTAGAGGAGAGAGAGGGAGGCGAGGGCACGGCGTGGGGATTTGGGGGGTGGGGGGGAGCGGGAGGAGGAGGGCGGCCGCAGCTGCGCCGTCCCGGCCATGCGGTCCGTGCGCCGTCGCCATGGCGGCATGGATCGAGAGAGGGAGAGAGAGAGAGCGGACAGGAGGAGGGCGTCGGGGTCGGCGAGAGACGGCGAGGGTTTTGTAGCGGGGGCAGGGGCTGTAGCGGCGGACGGACGCAATATGGACCGTGGATCGCAGAATCCGACGGACAGACGATTTCGGGGCGACGTGGACCGTTTGGTTGCTGGCCAAAGTAAACTCGTTTGATAATAAGAGATTATGGCATTTATCTTTATAATAATGTTGCTACCTGTTTTTTCAGTTTGTGTTATCCTGTAGAACCCGTGGTAACAAAGCACCTTATCATTGTTCGTAGATGGTTGGTACGCTGGATATATGCAAATAAAGCAACAACACCACAAAATAGAACCACCAGTAATAATATCATTTATCTAAACAACTGAGAGGGATACAGGGATGCAAGCATACATATTGTTTGATATGAAACAAAATGAAGGCTAACTCAAACTATTCTGCCACGAAGCACAAGACATGGGATGCAATGGGTGACCCTAGGACAAGACCCTTAAGAGTAACAGATGCAAATGCAACCGAAAACATATAAGAGCTGGCCATGCACAATTGGAAAAGTGAGCTCCATGCACTACTGTGGCCATGGGAGCCCTGAGGAAGAACCCAGATTGTAAGGCTGCATCATTTGACACCCACTGCCGCTGGGGTCCCTGCTGCTGCCTACAAAGCCATCATAGAGCGCCGAGCCGAGCTCCCCATAGTTTGGGGCCAGCAGGCTTGCAAGCGGCCAGTCCTGCTGCAGCTGGTGTTCCTCTAGTGGCGCCATGATTTGCATCTCGTTGTAGGTGTAGGAAGAAGCTTGTGTCTGTGACGAAGATGAAACTGGTAGCATCACCTGCAATGGATCTGGGAGGGCTCCCTGCCCACCGACAAGCTGCTGGATCCGTGCTTTGGCTTTGCTCATCTTCATCTCCACCATCTCCCTAAGGCTAACGAGCTCATCCTTGGTGGTGCCAACCAGGTCTGGACGACGTCCATCCAAGCTGTCATGCAAGAGGACCAAGGTCTCACGCTCACGATTCTCGTTATCCAACTTGCTCGCCTGCTCATGGAGCCTCAACGTGCGACTTTGGAGGAACTCTTCTTGGCTCTGTGTCTTCTTGAAGCTGCCAACATTTGGCATGTCCTTGAATTTCTTGAGGAATTTCTTGGCCTCTGCATCAGAGGGCCACACCTCCGGCTGGGCCTTGCCATCACCATAGACCACCACACGTACACATCTTAATGCCACAAAGTGTGGTGAGCTCACTAGCCTTTTTTTCCAGGGACTGGTAGCGTCTCTTGTACATTGCACGCCGAGTAGCATTGTTGGAGATCCACTGGAGATTCACCTTCCTGCGTGCCATAGCACTAGCACCTAGTAATATCCTAGCTTGCAGGCTACTACAATTCTACAACCGAAATGTAATGGATGCTTTGGTGTTGTGAAATGATGAGAGGGGTGGGGTTTGTATATATAGATCCGGGAGGGGCTTAGAGAAACTTATACTGGTGATAAATCGCCTAGTTATGCCACAATATTATGGTTAGCATTTACTTACTACAAAAATATGGTGTACATATTTTGCTTCATAAGTAATGCATAGACCTCAAGAAAAACATTTCATGCATACATCATGATGAGCATTGTGTGATAGGTTAGACAGTAGTCACATTTTTGTTAATTACAACGGCGATAAGTTGCCTAATCATACCATGATATTATGGCTAGCATTAATTGTCACATAAATATAGTAATGATTCTTGAGTAGATAGCTAATCATAGTTTTACTTATTAAATGCATCGATCACAAGGAAAACATTCCATGCATACATCATGAGCATCGCGTGATAGGCTAGACGTTGGTCAAATATTGATTAGTTGCTTCCATAGAACCACAAGGAATAACCTAATATAGAATTTAATCATGACATTGTAGAAGGCTGAGCATTACGTGATAGGCTAGCCTTTGGTCAAATATTGGTTAATTCCTGCCATAGAACCACAAGGAATAACCTAATATAATTTAATCATGATATTGTAGAATGGTCGTTCCTTGTAGGATGAGGCCTGTGACTTCAAAACAAGTATAGGACAGTATGGGATGAGTGAATTTGATCACAGGACTAGATCCATGTTTCAAACATGATCACATGACTCGATCCGTGTGTTTCAAAACTCTACAGTACATTTGTGTTTCAAGCCCAAGGAGGAAAATAGAGTAGTTGAAGAAATATCTTTTGAATTTGTCAGTAGTGACTATTTCTTATATATACCAACGTCACATGCCATAAAAATTAGACTAAAAGATTACCCGACCCACTAATTGTAGACGTCCATTATGGCTGGCGGTGATTGCATATTGTGCAACCTATGTGAAAGGTGTGTGAAAATTTTTGTTTAAATGAAATTTCGTCAGTGCTTAGCGAAAGAACCATGGTAGCCTAGCTTTTTTAGCAGTGTTTTTTTGTCAAATAGGCGAAAGCATTTTGTGGGACGAATTACCATTGGACGACCCACCTTCGATGTTTATGTATAGCTATGACCAAAAGGAGACTGATGCATTCAAGGGAGCTCTAATGTTTATTTTCAATCAACCATACATTAGGTAAACTGTCATGTCTCAGTTGTCTAGATTCGAGGTTTGTTATTATGTTTACAACCAAGATTCTAAATGGCTGGTATTGGTGTCAACTACGCTAACGTACCTATACCATAAGCACACGATGACTCTATAGTAGTTTTACCCAATTATTCCTCCATGATTTAAATATGGGAATTGCTATAATCCAGGCATCTGAAATTTCGTCGTTTTTATTTTATGCGACGTTCTCAGCCGTTGGATCAAGATCCAACGCCCCCAGCTGATCAAACCTCTGTTCATCTTCTTCCTCAGCTTTCTTCCAGACCGAGTCCTGACTCCCGCCCACTCCCCCCCCCCTGGCGTCGCCGACCACCCCACCGTGGAGCTCCGGCCAAGCCCTACCACACCCGTGGCTCAAGGATCATGAAACCATGTTCATCCTTACTCTTGGAAATAAGAACACTGGTGTGGCGGCACGAACTTGTCAGGGATCTCATCAGCAGGTCGCTTGCTGTTCTCCATCTCTACGGAAAAGATGACGATTTTGGATCGGAAGATGAAAGGAGCAATTCGCGCTCGGGAAACCGGAAAATCGAGATGTGGCAGATTGGTTTCTCGTCCATGACCATGGCCTGTATTTATAACCCAGAAGACGCGACGATAGACCTCCTCGAGGCTACACAATCGGAATCGGTTATGGAAAAGAATCGTTGCTCCAGAGATCAAGGGGACAGTTTGCGAAGAATTAGGAGACACAACAGATTCAAAATTTATTGCTTTCCATAATTATGATACCTCGGATCCCGGAGGATTGTTACAAAAAGGATTACATCCGAAACCGACTAGCCAGCCCAAGAAGACTTTGTTGGATTGAAGGGAGTCTGAACCCCATAAGGCCGAAAAGTGGGTCGCATCGGCTAAGAGATGGAAGCAGTATCAGGGGGGAAACAAGATAGACCTATCCACCAAGAGTGCACTGGTCAACTTCATAGGCTTCTTGGCATAGGCAGAGCAAATAAGGGGAAGGTGTCCACAGATTCAAGCCCTTGCAAACACTAGAATAGCCTCATATAGATGGTGAGAAGACTCAGGTGATATCACAAGAATTCTTCTAGCCACGGCGATTGATTCCCTTGCTTGACAAGGCACTAAAATGGGTGACACAATCTCCCTAAACACAAGAATTCTTCTAGCCACCGGGGGTTTTCATAGTGAAGCATTGGTCCAAGGGGATCTAACAAAGCCGAGAGCACTCGGAGGAGCGGAAGCAAGAACATGGTTGGAATGTTGAGTTGTTCTCATCAAGATCAGGTGAACATTTATAGTCGACTAGAGGAGCTGAATCCAAACGCCCGTGAAGCAATAGTGCACCCGTGGAACTTTGGAACGTAGGATGCCAACAAAGAAGTGGCATACCCGTGAAGCATGCAAACGACCAAGAGCATGGAAAGAAACAAAAACAGTGAGCCCCAGGGTAAAGTACTTGGCCCTTATTGAAGACACATCGATGGCCTCAAGATAGCGCAGAGGATAATTTCTGAATAAAATCACGTTTATCCCGAAATTGGGGGGCATGTGTTGACATAGAAATTTGGTCCGAGACAGGAAGTCCTTAAAGTCAAGAAATTATCAAGAAAAGCCAAGCTCTCCAATCGAATTGGCTAAATAAATTGCCAGACCAACTAATGAAATGGCGAGATCAGGGAATAAGCCCTATCGGCAGGATCAGCAAGGCACAGAGCAAGAAGACAGGTGGGGCTCCATAGAAAGGAAAGATTGGAGTCAAAGTTATCTTATATTAGGAAGTTTTGTTCATTTTTCCATGTTGTCATAACCGGTCTTGTTCAACCAGGACTCATAGTCAGGCCTTGGGTATAAATATTAAACCCCGGCCATTGTAATGGACATCTCACATCAATCAAACAAATCTAGTACCTTTACTTTTTTGGCTCCGACCACCCCTTAGGAGTAGGAGTAGAGTAGATTTCGACGAGTTCTTCGGGCAAGCAGGGCTGCATCGGACAACCTGACCTCCGGCTTGTTTGTGAGTATCCGTCACGACTTATATTGTTACTTGCAAGGCTGCAACAAACGACTGATCTCTTGCGAGCATGGTATAAGTTAGTTATCGATCTATATTGTTATTTGTAAGGCTACAACAGATGACTGATCTCTTACAAATCACGGTACAGATTAGTTATCAATTCGTATCAACTTTTACAAGGCTGCAACAGACGACTTATCTCTTGTAAATGTTGGTATTAATCAAAGTTATCGATATTGTGTTGGATAGTTCACTGTTTAATACAATATCAGCAATTACACGATCTAGATTGAGATTCGTTGGTCCTATCTGTTTTGATCTATCGTCTGCTGATTACTGTCACGGTTGAATTCAATTCCTGATGTTAGATCCTGTTTCAATGACCAATCTATCTCGGTCCTGATCGTACATGGTGGGTGTTTGAAGTCGTGTTCCATTAGGAGATAGATCCATTGATCGCCAGTATCCGCTGTGACTTCGCTATCAATGCTGCATCAGATGACTCGATCTGTTGATAGCGTGTCAGATCAAACATTAGCGGTTAGTAGATCTATCTATTAAGAAGAGCATGGCATCAATCACCAGCTATGTCTCCATCGGCTAATTAGCTGATGGCCTAAGCTCTAATGCATACAACATGCTTTCATGATTCTTTTGCGATGTAAGTAGATCTATCGATTCCTGGTCTCCGATCTAGGGTGCTATCGTCAATGCTGCATCAGATGACTCGACCTGTTGGCAGTACAATTGATTGAGTCTAGTCATTTATAGATTTATTTGTATCCAACAGATGAGTGATCATATGGCGTATGACACGATTACTGGAATCGGCTGTTCTAGCCGATAGCCCGCTTTATTGAGGATGTACTGGCTATTTACATGCTTTTACTTGTTCTTGTCTTGGTTAAAAGCTAGTATGTCTCTCACATGTATGCTTACACGACTATTCTTACATTTTTTGCATGCTTTCATGATCATTGGCTAAGATAGATCCATGTAACTAAGTAAATAATAATTGTTGATATGCCTGTTTTGTTTACATTACATCATGAACATGCTGGATATCGACTCTCTAGTCAACAGCCTTATTGTGCTGGCCACTTGGCCGTATATTTGGAATTGTCCGCACAAACACCGGCATGTTTCACCTTAAATTACTGATCACTTTCTCTCCTTGTCAATTGCAGGGTCAAATTGACTAGCACGCCCTCAGTCACGATCATCCGATCCAGCGCCTCTCCTTTTAAGTCCGGAGAGGGCTCAGGATCTGCCCCACGCGGTTTCTCTCGGCTTGCTCACGTGTCGGCGGCTCCCCATCGCGCGCATTTTTGCCATCGACAATGAGTTCGTTGGAACCCTAGATCTAGGAGGAGGAGGGGGAGGGGCTTACCTCGCTGGCATCGCCATGGCCGCTGCCTGATCCATGGTTGGGCTTGGGCGTAGGGAGTTGGTGGGTCAGATCCGCCATGACCCTTGCTGGGGAGCAGCTCATCGGGAGGTTGCCGAGCACGCGCGAGGGTGGAGAGAGAGAGAGAGGGCGAGCGTCGAGTGTGCGGCTTCAGCGTGGGTGAGCAACGCCTGAGCAGTTACCTAGATATCAGGCAACTGATGTATAGGAAACATGTTTTAATATTGTATCCATAGGGATTGGCAAACAAAGGAGAAGGTTAGTACTAATTAAACATATGCATAGTAGCC